CTTCTTCAGGGCTAGGACGGACAAGATACAAAATGATATAGAAAATTGTAGAAGCTACATAATACATACATGAATTTTATAATTAACTAAAGGAGAAATAAGAGGTCGTAACGGAGAATAGTTGTAATTGAGGAACCAAATGGATACGAGCGTATCCAAGCTCGCCCGAAAGATTAGAACACGCTTCCATACGCAACATGAGCTTAATGTAATAAGAACTCTGACAATATTATGTATATTTACATATGCGGTTTTCATAGATGCTATTGTTGGTATTATTTAATACTAGTAGGCCCGTGCGAAAAATTCGCACAGTACATTGTTATCAAATACTAAATTAATAAGAAAATAAAATAATGCAAAGTATCAAAAGATAAAGGAATCAATTCTTGCTTTATCGACAAATGAAACAAAATTAATTTAAATCATCATTTTTGTTTATAACTAATATATTTACAAATTTCAATAAGCTGTATCTTTGCAAAACATTGTCCGATTTCAATGATTTTTTTTTTGCTTTTTGTAGACAATTTAGTAATGTTTTATATAATCATGGGACTAACCAAGCAAAAAGTGTGTAATTTTTTAGTTATTCGCAAACAAATTTTCTTTTCTTTCATAACTTGTTTGCCTGAATTTTTGAGGTGATTGGACTATTTTGCCCGCCTGAAGGAGAAGGAAGCCTTCGAAATTGGTGGCTCAATCTTGAGATTTGGTGAAGAATTAACGATGATATGGCTTGCCGATCAAAAACACCATCGATAAATAATATAAACCCCTCCTGTCTCGATCATAGAGACCTCAAGTCAACGAAATAAGACATGTATCCAATGACAGTACTACAATTAACGCCAAGTTGTGTGGATACGAACCCCATGCCTTGCGTTATCTCGAAAATAGAACGTTTTGGGGCTTAAAAACGTAGGATCCGATAGTTCCGGAGGAACTATCCGGGTCTTGCTGTACGCATCAAAATCTTCAAGGTCCAATTTGTCCCGCATCGATCTACTGACCTACCACCGTTCCAGTATTGAAGCCTAACAAAATGTTTGTATCGACTTTATTTATTTTAGAAAGAAAAACAAAAGTGGAGAATACGATTCGCTAACCTCCCGTGAAATTCTGAATCCAACGGTACCCCATTCGTGGTATTTGAGCATGACAGGAGCTTATATTTGGTACAAAACCGATTTCGAGCCTTACTGTAATAATATATGTACGGTTGATGATTTAATTGTATAGATTACAGCGATATTAAAATTAAAATTTGTATATAAAGGGTACTTATAAAAATATCCCCAATGGATTATAAATCAATAAAGCGTTTATAATTTTTTACTTTCACTTCCCCTTTGTCTGAAAATACTTATTTCTGCTAAGAAGAGGGTGGTAAGTGAAAGTTGTGTGATGCAAACACACAGTTCCAGATTTTAAAAATTAAAATTTTGGAAAATTTTATATTTTATTCCTCAAAAGACTGATATCAAAATGTAGCACTATTCCTGCTCTCAATAAAAAATACTATATTCAAATGATTTGATGATAGATCACAAAACATTTAATGTAAAACAATATAAAAAATAAATATTAGAAATATACTATTTTGTAAGACTATTTAACCAACAATTCTCTATTTAGTCTTATCAAGTAGATTTATTTATTTTGTTTTATAAATATTGTTATTATTTTTATCATTAAATTATCGTACTTTTTTTCAGTTCTGCTTTTCGCTTATGAGCTATTTCTTCCAACATTTTTTATCTCTTTTCAAACACTCAACATAATTTAGAGAAGCATTTACTTCCAATATAAAGAATTGTTGTGTATTTACTTTTTCTTTTTACTTCGAATTGTGCAGAGACTTTGGTAGACCATCATTCAAAGTCACTTGTTTATTTGTATTATTTTAAATATATTTAAATAAAATAATTATTAAAAAGAAATGGTTGCTAATAAATAAATGAGTAATCGAAAATTTATATTTGAAAAAAATCCATATGAATTGTAGTAGTTTTATTTTATAACCTACCTTTAAAAGTTGATTGAAGGGAATTCAGAAGATTGAATATTATTTCTTCATACTTAATGGGTATGTATATTGATAAATTTTAAGACTGTTTAAAATAAATATATATACATATATTTAATTACTAAATCAGAAAGTTAGTGGGTACTCCTTCTTGTTCTTATTCAATTTTATTATACATTTTTATATTTATTCATATTTTTTTATGTAATTGTCAATACAATTTGTGAAGATATCATTAGAATGTAAATATAATCAAGAAGTTGATTTGGGGTGCGGTCAAGAGAAAAACATGAGTTTCAACTTAAGTTTCAGGTTTTCATCCTGGCCTATCATTAAAATTATAGTTGTAAATATCTTATAACTATATTTATTCTTCTTTCATACTTCCATAGTTTTTTTTTTTTTTGTAGATTTTTGCCACAATGAGACCTAAGCTTAGGTTGAAATGTTACTTCGAATGAAAATTATTTTACACTTGTTAGTTAGTTTTCTCTTGCAACTACACAATAAAATAAAAAAATTGAGTTAAAATAATTATTCTTAGATCTGATTTTTTGAAGTATTTCTATTAGGTATGAAAAAATTTGAAAATATTTCTTTTTTTCATAATGTATCTATAATCATTATGATATAAAGACAAATTCAAATGAAAAATAAATACATAATAATAAAAAAAAGAAAAATGTCTAAAATTATACACATTTAAAAAATAATGTTAACTACTTGGTAACAGATCTAACATAGGCTAAGATAATAAACAAACAAAATCAAAACAGTCAATACAAACAATATTTAAATTTTCAATGTTTGCTAAATGCATTCAATATAAACTTATTTTTCTCAAAAATACATGAATATCAATACCTATGTAATATAAATACAATATAAGCTACATAATAATTACAAAACAGATTCTGGCTTATAATTTGACAATAAAAATCTTATGTCTACAAATATTTACAATATTAAATACATGAATATTTCGAATACCCAAAACTGTACAAAAATACAGACAAGTTTGGAAGTTGAACAAGACAATTAAATATATATTTAGGAACTTTTTAGAACATTTTTAATAATTAACTATCAACTGAAAATGATTAATTCATTATATTCCTATCACTATAGATTATGAATTAATAATATCTATTTTAAACATCAAACATAAGTTACAATTACCAAAACTATGATCATTAGATAGTTGAAATTAAAAAAACAAAACAATCAGCATGTTGACCACTGAAGTACGCCAAAGACCGTCTACGGAACGTATGTCTTTAGAAGATAAACTTTGTATAGTACCACAGTCTTGCATTATTGGTTCTTAATATTTAATATGTTTAAATTCGTCAATAAAATAATAATATAACTTTTTTCAGTAATTGATTTTATTTTTATTTCCAAAGCCATATTGTATACAGAAAAATACTATAATTCAATTAATTTTTTTTTTAATACATTGAAACCTCTCTTAATGGGTACGCAAATATATTGAAAGTGTTCTTTTTTAATTATTAAAGTGATTGTTGTCTACAACTGAAAAAAAAAAAATAGAAAATTTTATGAGAAAAATTAAAGAAAGGTGCATTTATTTCACAAACATACCTTTTATCTTTTAAAAAGAAATTGTGAATTCAATGAACAATTATCAATCAGGAATTAATAATTTGTTTAATTTCCTAGTTGTTAAAATTAGTTCACTGTGATGCTTATAAATACATCTTTAATTCTAAAAATATTATGTCTATGAATGAAACATGAAAATTGATTAATAAACTTGTTTTGATACATGTGTTTATATATTAGTTGTTTTGTTTTTTTAATAATTTGAATACACCTTCAAGTGGCTGACTGTTGCACAGATTTCACTGTTTACATCAAGATATATACCTAGAAGTGCATTAAAACTTGTGCTTCGTAGCCCAATATTCATAAATTAAAAATTTTAATTGTAAAAAAAAAAGTTAAAAATATTACAACATACACTATCAGGATTAATAAATTTAATAGAATCAATAGTTCAAAAATAATAAATTAGTTAAATGAATAATTAATAGAAAAGTTAATTCATCATTAACACCTTTAACAATCAATATTTCATTTTTTTTTTTTTTTTATTGTGACAATCAATGCCACTTTAATATCACAAATATTTTATCATATAAATTAAAATAACAAATTAAATAAGATATATACATAATATTGATTAATCTCAATATCAAATATTAATGTAAGTGACAATTACTTAATATAGATTACTTTTTTTAATTATGTTCACTGCATTTGAATTTAACAGTATGAAAGCGAATCAACTCAGTGGCAATATTATTAAATACATTTTATTCTGACTATTCAAATCAACTTCCAACTTGTCCAAATATTGAGCCTTTCAATTGATAGGATGGACTAACACCAATTTCAATTTTGTTATTATTAATGTTAGTGATATTTCTAGAGGAGAAATGTATACCTTTATTCACAGTTCTATAATTCAACACTAGTCTGAAATCAATTTACTCGCTGTCTATACAGATATTATAAATTTTCTAATAAGGAATATCACTAAAACGACATTACTCAAAAATTTTGAAATTGGAGATGGTCGTTTTATCAACTGAAAGGCTCATATATTTAAGTAGAGCAACAAATAGTATTGTTCCAAATAGAAACAAAATGTATACATGGCCAACATTGTACAAGATAATACAGCATCAAAAATAAATATTTTAGTGTAGATTCCATGTAGTTTATGTTTATAATTGAACATATACAATATACATATATATTTTATTTTATTTTTTACAAAAGTACAAAACTACAATTGAAAGACATAACATTTTTTACAAAGTATTACATAGAATATTATATTAAAAGTAAAACGAAATAGTATTCACAATTAGAAACGGGAGGGGGAAAATCATATAACGACTAGGGGATAAGGTAAAAAGAAATTAGCCAGTTTGAGTAATTCTCATCTGGCCCTTTTCCTTGAAGGAGTACACTCATACTGTTCTCTCGTAGAAATATCTTCCGAAGATACTGAAAAAATATTTAATTTAATATTAAATGCTTAAATAAAACAATTTTCATTTAGTTGTTAGTTAAAGAGAAGCTAACAAACAAGACAAAACAGATAAAAGAGAAAGTTATTAGTGAAAATTAGGAATGCAGAGAAAAGACGCCGAACAAAATATTTAGTTAAATTATGCTGATGACAGAGCAGATGCATCAGAACATCACACAATTAATAAAAATAATATATACAGGGTGGTATTGATAATCTAAACATGTAGATAGCATGACCTAGATTATCAAAGGTTAAATTTAAAATGAGGGAAAAATGCACAACGTAATGAAAATGTATGAATTATCAGTTAAATATGAATACATTACAAACAAAAAAAATATTTCTGAAAATAATTATATATTACAACTTGAGTCTCTGATTTTGTTAATAAAGAAAACGTCTGATCTTGCAAATTCCTTAAAATTACCAGGCTTTGTTAGTCGACGTTGTATGCATTCACACACTCTAAGCAAATATTAAATGCCTTTATGGCGTTTTTATGACTTATATACAATACAAAATAAAATGAGTATAGAGAAATTTTCCAGTAAAATCAAAAATAATATAAAAATTCCTTTTCCATACCTGCTTTAAGAAAATATCAAGCCAACGTTTACTGACATTAAAATATGCTTTGTTATCCTTCTTAAAAAAATTCTTCACAAATTGGACACCCTCGTGAACTCTGTTACGAAAACCACAAGTATAGCAATTCCTGAACTGCCCTAATTTTGACCGCTTAATTTTGATAGTTTCGGTTTAGAGACACCACAATAAAATTTCAACGCTACTGCACTAAGCTATTCCATCAATATATACTGAGAAACTCTCATAAGTCAACTTTAACTTTTTTTCTTTCATGTTTGTATTACTAGAGGTTCGGATTATCGAGGCCATACTGTACATATAAGTACAATGATTATTTAGGATAATTAAATAAATTCAGTTCCTTTTTTTTTTAGTAGTGTTTACATTTTTGAAGACATATTAATTTTGCCAATTAGCTACTATGTCAACTTTACAATAGAAACAAAGATCTATATTTCAAAGGCTACCTATCCAATCATTGTCAAAATTTTGTGCATTTTTCATGTTTCTAAGGAGGTATATAAGAATATAATTATGATTTAAATTATATTTCACAATAATAAATAATGTATTAACAATTTGTCACAAGATTATCTTAGTGCATGAACAGTTGAAGAAGTATCACTTCTTAAAAATCAGTATTTATTCGTGACCGGCCCCAACCAATACTGTATTGATTAATTTTTCTCTTGGAACAGCTTTAAAAGGTCAAAAATAATATCACAATCTATTGTTAAAAATAATCTAAACATTAGCACTCCCCCCCCCCATAAACAATAAGAGAGGAACGTAAATGTAATAGCACCAATGGACAACCGATCTATGATCAATAATAACAAATAGAATACTAAAAATAAAAATTTCGAAAGAAAACAATAATTTTCTGAGAGTTAGAAAAAACAAAAGAAAAAGAAAATACTTACCAATTCAAGAATGCACAATATTATGCAAAACTTATGACTAAAGAATAAAAATTAGTAAATAAACTGAGTATTCAAAATATTTACATTTTGTATTAATTGCAAAGTAATTGAAACATCTTCAATGCAATATTATATTATCATGCAAATTGTGAATGTGAGACATAAAAATATAGTATTCATTCAACTAACATTATTAAAAGAAAAATAGTGAGAGAAAAATAATATGTTATGCTAAGTACATTTCAGCTGATTAAGGTTAAAATCGCACATCGTTACAATACATGGTGTATTGAAGAAATTTCATAAATAATATTCACAGTTCCATTTAGGAAAAGAGATAAAACTAATATTTTTTTTAGAAATTAAGCAGATTATAAATAGATAATATAAATGAAAAATTTAACACACATATTTCAATTATACTAGTATGGAAAAAACTCTGCCTAACCAGCTCTTTGGATAAACTGGTGATAAAAAAATAAAATAAAATAATAAACCAATACTTTTTTCTCGGAGTTGATTGAAGGGGCATATTTTTCGGTGTTAGAATCTCTTATTCTGTTATAACATTACTTTAAAATTAAATGGACAGTAAAAAAAATGAACAACAAAAAGTATAGAGTCGGGGTGACCGAATGGGCTAATGTGTGAGCACAACACTGCATGTTGCTCAGGTTACCTGATAACCGAAGTTAGAGATGACCAAATAATTACGAGTTTGCATCCGGAGGAGCTTTAAACTATGGCATTACCCCTCGCCCTCATCTCCTGGTCTGGGAGAACTCCGTATAGCCTAAAAGACGAGGCAGGGGAGAAAATACAAAAAAAAAAAAAAAAAAAAAAAAAAGAATGCTTCAAAATACAAATAACAATAAAAGGATCCAGGAAACAATGCTGAAAGATACAAGAAACGTTTAATCAGAAGACGAATCTGCATATTTCCAAGGACAATGGTATACAGTATATAATAATATTAAAAGTTACTTATTTACACATTATAAGAATAGTAAGTTAACAAGGCAAACAGCTGAAATTATTCAGAAGAGGTTTAAAAAGCACAACAAAAATATCTCAAATTTCATGGGAAAGTAGTCAGAGAAAAATCCATTTATTTATTAAAAAATATTTGAGTAGAACTCGTATTACTAAAGTCGACTATTCAATATGTAATAAAATATACTTGTTTTATGCGCACTACAATTGAGTAACATATGGTCTCATGTTTTTAATTAAATTTCACTATTACGCAGTATTAGATTGTTTAATTTATTTATTTGTTATATATTTATATATAACTATTATAATTATAATTATTATTATATATTTATTTGTTCAGGTTGTATACAACAGTCTCTTTTATATTCTATAATTGTATATCGAGAAGATTTTAGTATCCATCAGCATATTGATCTCTATTGAATCTAAATATAACAATTACAATTTATTTATATAGAATAATATTATGATTGCTATGGAAAATAAGATCATGAAGAACTTTTAACTTCACTCCTACTATTAAAAAAATCTATAATTCGAACTATGTTCTTCGCCTAGTATACATTTTTTTCTAATATTGTTTTTTGGTTGAATTTAGTAATAAGATGAAATTTTATAGCTGATAGTTTAAAATTATAAAAATGAATAAATAAATCAAATAAGAAAAATTATTTTACTGACTTAATTTCTTCTGACTTAATCTTACTAACAAGGGGAGGTTACAGATGTGTGGTCACCGATTTCAATGAAACTTTTTTTGGTGATACAAGATCGAAAAATATTAGACCAATGTCCAAGGGGTCTTTCCAATGCGCCCTAGGAGCCGAGAAAAGAAATGTTTTATAAAATTTTATTGTTTTTTTATGTGCTCTGCATGGATTCATAAGTTATTATATATCAATCGATTTGTTTTTTGTGTAAAATAAGAAAAACATATTCTTAATTGTATTAAACGAATTATAATTTATAGTAAATTACAAAAATCCATAGACGCTGCTTCCAGTAAATCAGAACAAGTAAAATTTTGTCGTGAAAAAATGATTCAGATTCGTTTTTAGGGTTCACTAAAACTCTTACATACGAGTTTAATTTGAAATAAAAAAATATAAATTTTTGCACGTAATTTTAGGGAAAGATTTTTTTCATGCTGTTGACTAAAATATTCATAACTCCTTAGGTTTTTCTCCTAAGTCAACGTTACTACAACCAATGGAAAGCTAAATTATTGCTCTTCAAAACTATATCGATAACTTTTAGATTTCACGTTTTCAAAAATGTAAAAAGATGATATTCATTTTTCGCATCCTTAAAAATCCGTAAGAAAAATGAGTAGATATTAAAACTGTTAAATATGTATTTAGATATTAATATATTTTCATTGCAATCGAACAATAAATGTCTTTTGCTTTACTAATATCTACTATAAATCTATAAACATTGATGGATCTCATAACAACTATTAATATAAGGCAGAATATTGAGCAAAAAATTTATATTTTTCGATAGCAGTGAAAATTTATATTTAAGGGTTCTTTGGAGAGCAAAAAATGAATATTATCTTTTTTTTTATCTCAAAAAAGTATATGTAATATATGCTTTATTCTTATTTTCGGGTCGAATATCGATAACATACTTTTTATTTTTCTCAAAATTTTCGTCTAAGCTGGAGTCCTAAATTTTGTTTCAAAAGCATCTATGGATTTTGTAAATTATTATATCTTATAATTCGTTTAATACAATTAACAATATGTTTTTCTTATTTAACATAAATTGATTGATATATAATAACTTAATAATAATAAATAAATCCATGCAGAGCAGAATTAGAAAACAGTAACATAAAAAAACAATAAAATTTGATAAAACATTTTTTTTCTCGGCTCCTAGGGCGCAATGGCAAGAACCCTGAGACATGGGTCTAATATTTTTCGACCTAGTATCACCAAAAAAAGTTTCATTGAAATCAGTGATGGCACATCCGTAACCTCCCCTTGTAAGTGGTGAGCAATGACCACCAGTGCTATCTGTATTTTGGAAAGGGATTGCAATCAAAATTACCCAACAATAACTTATTTCATTTTTCTATTATAGAAAGTTTACTACCAGTGATTTGAGATAAGTGTAGGAAAATATAAGATGCTTTCAATTTTGAATTAGAGACACATCTTGATTATTGGTTAATATATAAATTCCAATGGAAGGAGATGGTCCGGGGTGGCGGTCATAATTAGGCTAAATAGTGGTAAAACTATTTTATTGAAAGCCTATTTATGACCGCAACCCCGGACCATCTCCTTCCTTTATAATGCAACGGTCAACTATTACATATTCAATAAATTCTAATGTTTGTATACTCTGGAGTTCAATTTAGGCAATATTTTGATAATATCGAATATTTGAGATTTTTAGAATGATTCAACAAAACAGTACACAAGTTGTAAAAAAAAAAATTAAATAAATAAAAA